GACAAAAGCAAACTCAATTCCACGAATGAAGAAAAACTGAAACCGAGTCGCTTTAATTCAACGCAATGTGCTGCGATTGCATACGATGAGATATAAAAGGACCCATCAAGGAGGTTTACTAGGAATATCAACTGAATATGCCACAAAATTCTAAAAACAAAAAATAAAACAAAAATTATTGTAAAAGGATTAAAAGCCGCACAGAAAAGCGTTATTGTCTCTAAATTGATTCAACTGCGAACGGACCCAGCCGCAAGAACATAAGAACAGGATTAAGTTGTGGTGCCATTAAACGAATGAAACAGTAAATAAAAGTATGGGAAGAGGGGGAAAAAGTGTGCTAAATTATAAAATTCTCAAGTATTGACAAACTGAACTTAAATAAGTGTTAAGACCATCCTTGTAAGTTCAAGCATTCTACATGCGTGTAGGGTCCTTAGAGTTTTAGTAAAATAAGAGGTTTGCGGAGTTAAATACACTTTGGTTTTGTACGTTTTTGACTGTTCGTTTTAAAGTTCTTTGAGTTGCTGATGTATTCGTTATATTTGCTTAAGGTGTGAATATTTGCAAAGTTTCTAGTAAATACTGAAACAATCGAAAAACAGTGACGTTTTCATCATCAAAAACTGGAAACTAACGAAAATTTAGGTATCCTATTCAGGATACCTAATAGATAAATAGATAATAATAGATAAACAAATTGTTATTATGTTATGAGAAGCCAATTTTTTGTATTTCTATATAACACATATATACATATATATGGGATTTTCTATTTTTGTTTGTTGATTATGCACTTGCAAATTAAGGCAGAAATGTTGATGAATTTTTTATTGTCGGAAGAAATATGAATGATTGTTGTGGCAAAAGAGTTTATCAATTGAAATCCATATTAGAAAAGCACTGATAAGGAATTTAAGGGTAAATATAATAGAAATTTGATTTAATGAAACACCTTAATAAACATATAGAAAATAAAAAAATTCGTTTAACCGTAAATAACTAACGAAACGCGTCAGAACTGAAACTGAAACACCAAAATAACGTTCGCAAAAACACACAGGACAGTTTTAAATAAGAGTAGAGTAATATATTCATGTCGCGAATGTATGAAGATGCTTCAGCCTTGTCTCCAGTAAAGTGATTAAGCTGAGGGAGCAATAACCGATCTTAATGTACGATGCGCGTACGCAACAGAAGCGCATGAGAGACATGCTGTGTTAAGCCAAAATCCGATAACGGGCTGTTATGGCCAAATAAGTAAGTAAGTAAAAGTAATATATTATATGATATATGGAGATATTAAAAGCACCTAATGTTAACATTTTGGGGTAATATATACATAAGTGACAGAAGAATGCAAACAATTGTTCATGTACACAATCAGTGGTACTTTGGCGTGTCAATAAAGAGACAGAAATATTAGAGACAGTAAAACGACGAAAGTTGGGGTTTTTTGGTCATATTCTGAGGCATCCGGAAAATTACGAACTACTCAAATTAATCATTAATCATCATCAATTAATCACTGATTAATTAATCAGTGCACGGACTAATTAAAATTATTTAGAAGAATTGAAGGCAGAAGTGGCCCTGGGAGACGAAAGTTATAATGGCTGAAGAATTTACGTGAATATCTATGTAGTAAACCCAAAAAAAAAAGATTGATAACGTTTCAGTTTTTTTTTTTATTAAAATACATCAATTTATAATTTTCGAAACATCACTGACTCATTTTAACAGAACGAACTGTTGTTATTTTTCGCAAAACATATCACAACTACTGCAGAGCCCATTTACTAAAAACATAAAACAGCTTTGCAAGCAAAATATTAAGATATTCAATGGAACTTTAAAATTCTATGCAAATACTTGAAAATAAATTTGCAAAAGTTTTCAAAATTCAAACAAAAAAATCGTTTAAAAAAGGGATAGAGAGAAAGTACTACTGCCTCACAGACCTTGAGTTTAGCTTACATTCAGAGTCACGCATGAAAGGATTGTTAGCAATAGTGCAGTACAATAGTTTTCTAAGAGACAAAAGAAAACCAAATATTGTGGTTGCAAAAGAAAGTCGAAACTTGGCTTGGCTTAAAAGGATTGCAATTCAAATTAAGCTAAAAACAAACGATGACTAAAGCACGCCTTCCTCATCCACATCCACAAACACCGACACTTACCCATTGCAGACTTCGTGTTTTTATTTCAGGGGAAGTTTACAGCACGAGTTTTCATGTTTGTCGGTTAGTTCAATAGCGCTTACTCGATATCCAGCATCCAGAATACCAAGTTCAGTTTGAATAGAGCACCACTTCTGTTATCAAAAACCACAACTACTACTGCAATAACAATAAACACAGTTGTAAGTGTGTGAGGGCAGAAAGAACAAAAAGTTGCGGTTGCTAAAATATTTTAAATTAATCTCGAGTGCGAACGATAATAATTAAACAATATTAGTAAACAAGAAAATAAAAAATAAAACTTGAAAATGAACACATTTGTATATAAGCAAATGCAAATACAAAATATATTGTTGAAAAAAAAAACACATCGTTTTGCAGAAATATACTTATTTAACTATATTTTAAGAATATTAAACAATTTAGTAGTATTTTTAGTATTTATAGTTAATGCTATGAACTTTACGGCAGTAATGAATTACTATGGAACCAAATAATCTCTCTATGTATCTATTTATCTAATTCTATTTATCTATCTAATTCTATCTATCTATCTAATTCTATCTATCTATCTAATTCTATCTATCTAATTCTATCTATCTAAATCCATCTATCTATCTAATTCTATCTATCTATCTAGTTCTATCTATCTTTCTAATTCTATCTATCTATCTAATTCTATTTATCTATCTAATTCTATCTATCTATCTAATTTTATCTATCTAATTCTATCTATCTATCTTATTCTATCTATCTATCTTATTTTATCTATCTATCTATTTTATCTATCTATCTAAATCTATCTACCATTCAGACAGATATTCAAACTATACCTATTCAGACAGATATTCAAACTATAGCCATTCAAACTATATTTCATAGTTTAGTGATCTAACAATCTTGTAATCCAAAAAGTCTTACTTATGTTAATTTGCTTTTAATTCATATTAATTAATTTATAGAGCTTAAAATAAGAATTTGTAAGAATTATGAAAAAACTAAGATAAACTTACTGCCATCGCTATGCGCTACACCTTCCCGTAGCAGAAAATATCTTAGACCCTCCATTGTGTAGATTCTTGCCACTTCTTCGGGGTCAACTACATTATGTTTGCTTTTTGACATTTTTTGACCATCGACAGTCCAATGAGAATGCACAAACAGTTGTTGAGGAGGTTCAAAGCCTACAAAAAAACAAAAATTCCATATGAAAAAATCAAAACTCAACAATTTTGCATCGCAGAACATTGTAACTTACATATAATACCCTTCTTAATAAATATATTGATTAAACAATGATATTGATTTAGTACGTTTGAAGCAGTTAATAATAGATTCATATAGACAAGAGTATTTTACAAAAACAAGGGTACCGTTATTATGCACTATATCAGATGACTTCACAAAATTGAATTTGCTTAAGACTTTGAAGAATGTTAATTAGTTTTATTGATTTGAATGTAAACAAAACTAAACAAAACTTCGTTTTCGGTTTTCTGACTGCCAAAAGCACTTATTCATTCCTACTTAAATTTGTTATAAAATTCGAAAAATATATTTTGTTTATATTTACCTGCAGCAATTAAAAATGCAGGCCAATAAACGCCATGAAATTTTAAAATATCCTTTCCAATCACATGCACTTTTGCTGGCCAATGATTACGATACTGTAGACATAAGATTATTTACAGAATATTACAGATGGTAACAGAATCTGTACTGCACCTTAGCATCAGGAAAGCCGGTGGAAGTTAAATAGTTAATCAATGCATCTAGCCACACATAAACAGTTTGCGTTTCGTCACTAGGCACGGATATAGCCCAATGCACACGATTGGACGGACGTGATATTGAAACATCTGGCAGTGGTTCATTCAAAATATTTAATAAAATTTTCTCAAATTTTTTCGGACGCACTCGACCACCTTGTTTTACCCAATATACTACATCAGATTGTAGTGCTGATAAACGAAACATGTAATTTGTTTCATCTGACCACTCCACAGGGTGACCGGATTCTAAAGAGTAGCGAATACCAGTTGATTCATCCAAACGCAGCTGTGAGTCAGTTAGGAAAGTTTCATCAGACACACAATACCAACCGCTGTATTTTGCTGAATATATATGACCATTAGTATGTAAGCAACGCTAGGAGTGTGTATTTCGATTAAAAACAGGAAATAACAACAGTCTGCAACTTACCCAAAATTGTGCTACTGCTGCTTTATGTCTGTCTTCTGTGGTGCGTATGAAATCATTGTGTGCTATGTGCGCCTGTTGGAATATATTCTTGTATTTTGCTGATATATCATTGCAGTATTGTTCCACAGGTATTTTATGTGCGGAAGCAGCTTGCTGTACTTTGGTGCCATGTTCATCAGTACCAGTGCAGAGGCGTACACATGTATTGTTCGGTCGCAATAAATTTTGGTAACGACATATAGCATCAGCAATAACAGCAGAATACAAATGTCCGATATGTGGCGCTAACGTTTAGAGAATAAAGAGAACTCCTGATCATGCAACTCCTGATGAAATAAAAAACTTACCGGCATTCACATAGAAAATAGGTGTTGTTACATAAAAGGAGCCATTTGATTTTGTACAGTACCGCTGCAAACATTTTACTGTGTTTTTTAACATTCTTTCAAATGCAGATTATTAAAACACACTTCTTCAAAGTGTTAACTAAAGAATATCACAAATATTTCTTTGGAGTTCCAATTCCGCTAACGTTACCGAAATGTCAAAACACAGCTGAGATTTATTTACATGCGTTTTCAGTGACATCTAACGGCAATGTTTTTCAGTGTTGTAAAATGTTGTCTTTTAGAAAAATTTGTGTAGAACAAAAATTATTTATTATACATAAATTACGCTTATTATAACAAGTACGCCCAAATAATTTAATTTTTATAAAAGCACTACGGTTTTAAACTTATTTTACGTTAGAAAACACCTCAATTCATTTAAGAGGTGTATTTAAGAACTCATGATCAACTTTGCACATTTTATTAGTCATGATGGATATTTTTTATATATATATGTATATATATATATATATATATATAATTCATTCAGAATTGTGTCTACTATTGATTGATGGTTCTCACATATATTTTCCAAATTCAAAATTCCATATCTACAAAAATTAAACTATATTGATATTGATATATAACGCAGTGAAGTAAGTTGTTTTCTTCTTCCAAATGAAATCCATTGTCAAATGGGTGTGCTCAAGAAATCGAAATTGTACCCCAATATAACATTACTTACGATAAATCGAGTGGTTTCGAATTAAAATTTAAAATGAAATTGATTTTAATGTTTAATATTGTTTCAATAAAAAAAATGCGTTTTTAAATAATTCATTTCCATATAATAGTTTGTAAAATTTTATCATTTGCTGTTTATTGTTAATAATTAAAATATACAATATTATTTTGTTGGTCTTATATTTTCTCAAAAATATAAACTGATTTGAAATAAAAAAACTAATGTGTATATTTGCATATATAACTTTAAGTATTATAAAGCGCTTAATTTCAATTTAAAAGAATTTTTAGTTTCATAATTAAAAAGAATTTTATATATTAAATATATAATAATATATTTCTATTTTTTAATAACGAGTCGCTCGGGAGAGAGGAGAATGCTGCAAAATTTTAACAAATATTTCTGTTACAATAAATAGTTTGCTTACAATCTCAGGAATATCAAAATAACTTTTCTATACATTCTATTACTTAATTATTGTTTTAATTGCATTCTAATAATTTAAAAACTTTAACTTCAATCAAAATTTATTTAATACATTTTTTTTGTAACTCTTAAATATTACACATTTTAATTTGTTTTTATATATTTTTATTGAATAGGGTTTACTGTACATTTACTATCAGACAATATTATTTAAGTTTAATTGAAATATATTTATATATCTATTTTATATTATTTTAGTTATCTAATTTTCTCCGCATTTGTCTTTGGTTTATATTTACAAAATTAACTGAAATACAATTTGTTATTTTCCACATCAAATATATAGGCCTTAACTGACTGTAATAATTAAAAAATAATTAATTGCCAATTTTATATTTAAATAAATTAACAATTAAATCAATTGACCCAAGCTAAATAAAGTTTTTAAACAAAGTAATTTTGCATTTTGAGATACAATTCAGATTTTCTTAACGTATAACTAAACTTAAATTAAACACATGTTTTTTTTACGATAAATATTTGGAGTGGCCAGTAACATGTCATAGGAAACTGCGTCGTTGATCACTGCTGGTTTGAGCTTAGGCACTCCAAAATGTTGCAAAATTATTCGTTCGACGCCAATACAAAAGGAATGAATATCACTTTCGGTTTATTATATATATAAAGTTTTTGTCGTTTTTGTCGTTTTTGTTTGGTTCAAAATTACAAATAAAATTCAAAATCGCTTAAGTTAAAATTAAAGAATTAAATAAAATTACACATTTACAACCTAACAACTAAAGTTTTCGTGAAATCAGTGCATAATAAATTAAAAATAATACTTAAACAATTAAAAACTTAAGACTATTTTCGCGCAGTGGCTGTCCCACTACCGCCTCCTTTTTCGAACCGTTGTGTAAGTGACGCAATATTCCCCGACTTAACTGTTGGTCCTGTTCGAGGTGTAGTTGCCGATAGTTTATTTCCAGCTGTGTTCGTAGAATTACTGCTTCCAGCTGCTGGTGTTTTCTTTTGATTTGTGAACGACGGTTTCGCTGAAAGAAGTTTGGGTTTTTGTATGGTAGCGGATGGCTGTGGTGTCGTACCGCTGGCACCACTGCCAGGCAGTGTTTTTTGTGTATTTGTGTTAGGTACAGTAGTGCTTCTTCCAAAGGATTTGTTTCTGCTTACCGCTGTGGATGGAACGCGATGAGGATTGTTAACCGGTATGTGATTTGAAGAGGCTGTTGAAATTGAAGAGGCTGCAGGTGGTTTAAAACTGGAGAATGCTGTTGTTGGAGAAAGATCTGAGCGTGTTGGTGCCACGCGAGCTACTGGTGTATTTATTGGTGCAGGACGTAAATATGTGGACATATTCTGTGTTGCATTTGTTTTTGTGGCTTCTATAGCTTCACTCTTATTACCAGTAGTGCTATTTTGTGAAATGTTCGTATAACCAGATTTTCTGTTTTCTGCTCTACAGTGTTCCTGCTCATCTTTTATTTCATTTTTAGGTTTAAGCGTTGATGCTGAATAAATAGAATCACCACCATTGCGTTTTTCGATTTCGTTGACTATTTCACCCAATAGTCCCATATCACTTGTAGCACTGCTTACACTTACCAAATCACTGCGCTTTAATGTTTGAGCTGCAGGTGGTATCTCATCGATAACAGAATATATATTGTCTGTAGAGTTGCGTGAATTTCCGGTTTCGCTAACACTACTTAGAGGTAATTCGACAAATTCACAATCGTCATATGTATTTTCAGTTTTTAACTTGTTAACACCTAATGGGATTTGATAACCTGATGAAGTTGTTGACAGTGTTTTTTTAAGTGGTGGCGGCCTCGGAGGCGGACTTTTTGGACGTGCTGTTGCAGCTGAAACCACACTCTTAGGGCGCGCTGTACCTGGTGGATGACGCATGGAACCAAATGTTTGAACATTTGTCTTCTTTGTTGGAGAACGCATAGATTGAGTCCGCTTGACAAGATTTTTTGTTTCTTCTTCTTTTGGTGTGGTCTCCGAATCAGAATTTGATGACTCTCCATGCGGAGCTACTGGTATTGGTGCTGAAATTTCTAAATTACGTAACTTTTCACGATCTATGTAAGTTTTTTCTTTTAATGGTTGCTTTTCCTCTTTTTTAAGAAATGAAGCTATGCGACGTATCGTGCCATCACGTTTTATGTTTAATTTAGGATCTGCATGTAAAGGAACAGGTGGCGGCGGTGCAGTTTTCAATGTGTTTGTAGTAGGCGGCGTAGGTGCTGTTCTAATTGGCGATATTTCTCCATTTTGCATCGATTTAATTGGTAATCCTAGCGTTGTTGTTTCCAAAACGGGCATTGAAATGATTGGACGAGCATTTGAACCGGGATTTGGTGGTGGTAGAGCGGGTGCACTTGGAGCATTTGGCGGTGGTGGTGCTTTACGACCTAAAGTACCATTCAGTTTATGTGTATCGTGCGTTTTTACGACAGGTGGTGGAGGTGCTGCACGCTGTGGTACCCCAGTCGAGTTATCTTGTATTGTAGGCTGTACATAAGCTACATTTGATCCATTCAAATTATTCACGGGTGTTGATGTATCATTAAGTGGTCGTAATGTGAAGCCTTTAAACTTGCCGAACATTCCATTGTTCAAAGTTATATCATTGGAATCACTAGGCGATTTAAGTAAAGCCGAGTTCATATCGTCTGTACTGCTAGGTGTTGATTTTGGCAAGCCAGTGTTGCTCTGCGGCGGAGAACCACTAGTGTGCTGATTACGCTGAGGTGGTTGTTTGTTGCTACTAGCACTTTTAAGACTATAAAGAAAATATAATTAGCAAATATAAACATAATTATAAACGCGGTATTTGATTTTGTCATAATCTTTGTTTTGTTAAAAATAGTGAATAGTTTTTAAGAATTGTATATTAAAATATTATTTTAAATGAAATTAACTATTAACATACCAATAATGAACACAAACTCCACAATCAAAAAATAAGACACCAAATCACACCATGGGTTTCTAAAAATTAACATGCATTGCTACGAAGTATTCGTTAAAGCCTTAAACTTAAGAAACAATAAACCAAAACCGATAGCGTAACACAATCTTAATTCTAGTTTATTACAGTTTTAAAGAACTTATGTACTTAAGATTACATTAAAAAAAAATTAAAATTTTCCGTTATAAATTCATGCAAAAAATATTCATTTCTAACTTAAAGACAGAATATTATGTTATAATATACAAGTTACAATTAATCTTAGAGCTAAAAACTAAATATAATTGCTATACATTCATTTTAAAATTTGGTAAAGTGAAAGTAATTAAATTTAATTTAAATGAAGAAACAAAAATCAAATTTGAATTTGAAAAATAAAAATGAACTCTAAATTTCAATCTAAGCATAACAACAGAAACAACTAAAACAACATTTTTGGACGCATCTCTAGGACTACTAAGTGTCCTATGGGAACTACATATCGATTTTTGCAAAGCAACACTTCTTCAGGCATTTCAAATAAATTATGAATGAAAAAATTTAAATAAAAAGTGATTTGAATGTTTATTATTGTTGATGTTGCTGCTTTCTATCTAGCAGATAGACACACCTATTCTCCTGACTTAGTACGAAGTCAGTGCCTTCAGTGAGTGCATGAGGATTCGTTGTGGAACGCAAGCGTACGTCGGTGATTTCTAGCTTACGCTTAAGTGTGTTATTGTTGCTAGAATTTTTGTTTTTGTTGTGAGTCTTATGTTTACTAGTATTTGTGGATGTAGGTAATGTGGAAAGTGTGGATGATAGTTTATTTTCTTGTTTCTTGATAGTTTCATTGTTGGAATAAATTGGTTTGTTTAGTACATTTGATGCTGTTTTTGTATTTAAATTAATTTCAAAATTACTTTTACTTTTAGACAAACACATATTATTATGAATTCTAGCTACATTGCTCAGTGACGACATAGATAAATTAGTGGAACGTGCGTTTTGTAAAGTATTAGCAGTTATTGCATTAATATTAGTGGCAGTGTTCTGAGTACACTTAAGAGCCTTTGTGCAAGACGAATTATGTTTAGTGGGTGAAGTGGTTGAGACACAAGATGCAGTAGAAGAAGAGGAACTAGAAGTGCTAAAAGAGCAAACCGATTTTGGTGTAGGTACATACATATTTTCCGCCAACTTGCCATCAACGAAAAATGGATGATTACGGCAATAGTACATGAAAAAGCAAAACATCGCCATAAAAGGTATCACAGCAAAGAAGAAAATATACATAAAACGCTGGAAAGCATCATGGCCTGTAAGAAACAAAAACATAGTATCTTTATAAATACAAAATTATATTGTAGAAACTTACTATTTGGATTTGTCGCTGGACCGCTATCAATAGAGCCACCTGGTCCAGGTGAGAGACATGTAGCACCAGTAAATCCTATATCACAGTGACAGTTACCACGACTGTTGCATACACCATTGCCATTGCAATTATCTGCACACTTTTTGCCCATTCCATTTGCTAGCACTTGTGAAACTGTTAGGCACTTTTGATCAACACACATTTTATTATTTCCGCATTTAGCACCATTCGGTGTTAGGCCTGGGTCAGTACTTTGCAAACCCAAATCAACTAAGGCAGTACGGCATGGGACTATACTACCACCTTCGTTAATAAACGAATGAGATAATACAGCCGCCGATTCCATGCCAAACTCTAAGCGTTCATTCAGATGTCTACAATGCAGCATACCGCAATCAACATTTTCTGGTTCACACGGTATAAAAGTATTATTAAGACGATTGTAACCACAATTTCCAAATCGTTTCCCTTCTTTATTTTTAAAGTAACAATAATCTGAATTTTCACCTGTTGGACCCCAAAGTATACGGCATTGATTTGTGTGTGAACGACAGTTTCCTTGAAAACAGTATGCTTTACCATTATCACATTCTTCTGTATCCCGTCTAAACACATCTATAGGACAATATTCAGATTCGCCTGTACAATATTCGGGCAAATCGCAATCGTTCTCTGCCTTTCGACAGCCTGTTCCAGCTATTTTAGGACGACACGTACTTAAGTCACAGCATTCACCTGTGGCACAGGAAGCATTTGTATGTAACATACAGGTATAAGGATCACAGCAGGTATTTTCGCAATAGGTTGGCAAACCACAATCACACTGTTCGCCGGGTTCTACGAAACCGTTACCACATTGCGGAGAATCGAAAAGCTTAGTGGGCTTGTTGCGAAGGCAATAATTCATGCCACGCGAAAAGGCAAGATTTAGCTGATCAATACTACAGCTACTCCAATGCACAGGTACCACAGATGTACTTGATGCTGACATAATACATTTTTCATCTTGACATTTGCAATCCGATGTATCATGCTCCATGCCAAAATTGTGACCCATTTCATGAGCCATTGTAGTAGCAACAACCGCAACGATTTGACTATGCTCCATAGAGACACCACCAGAGTATTCATGTGTACAAATAGGACCTTTAAGCGCTTTTCCTATAGTAAAATAAACATGATAATGTTAATTTTAATTTTTTCGGTTTTTCTCTCATCTATAGTTTTATGGTATACATACCTACAACACCGCCATTGAACTGCTCTTTGGTTAATAATTGTGCGTTATCATTGGGATGATCTAGCACCAGTTTTGTGCGGCGATAATTGAGAAAATTTCTTAATGTTACATCGCCGTCACTTGAAAACTCTATTTCATTGGACTCATTCCAGATAACCACACCCACCAAAGCAACAAAAATATTTAAAGGCACGTAAAGCTGAAAAATTATCATTCAAAAATAAATTAATTAAATAATTACTCTAAACGAAGATGGAGAGTAAGAAAACACATACAGCGTTTATAATATTGGCCAACTCCTTGCAGTGTTGGTGTACTTTTTTCATATTCTCTCCGAATAATTTATAAACTTTATTGTCCACAACGATCACTAGCTCCACGTAGGAAGAGTGCTTATTAGCGTTATAAGGCCCCCTTATGACGTTGTTATCATCGTATGACCTTTTATACTATTTGAAAGGAAATATAAAGCAAATTATAGTTTCTTTCGTATGATAAAAATAGCTCTATTTTCAATCCAACTTACCCTTAAAATACGATTAAATTCCGAACCATCAATACGGTTTGGTACTTGAACACCACTACCGGCGTTTAAGTGCTCAGTTTCGAACACATGAACATGGTTATCAGCGTTACTTCCATAGCCACAAGTGGCATTTTTGTTAAACAAATCCGAATGTCTAAAAAGAAATAGCAAAAAGAAGTAGTTTTCATTAAACGTCATTTGTTACCAATCAATCACAATCAATTTCGGCAAATAAACACTACTGAAAAAAAACTTGCTACTACCCTCGTACCCTCTTACCCTCGTCATTGTGAAATTAATTCAAATATTTTCCAAATTTTTGAGGAAATTGAAACCATTTCAGGAAATCGGTTATAAAAGTATAAATACTTCCCATGGGGCATTAATTTGCAAACATTCTATGTCTAAATATTGACATTAAACAAACACACACTCCTCCGCTGAACCCAACGCGTACATTGTACAGTGCACGCATGAAGCGTGGAAAGTGGAAATTATAGAGGCGATTTAGCATAAAAGACAACCACAGGCCACAAATCAAATTTTAGGTGCAGTACACAGAAATATTCATATTCAGTTTTCGACATAAGTTTGAATTACTTTGAACTACTTTGAATTGAATTTGCAATCGAGTAATTTGTCACTAAATTATCAATATTTTCATATTATCAATATTTCACATATAATACCTATTTTTCATATACATATATTTTTATTATCAATAATTATAAGATAACTTTATTTTCAAAGATTTATCACTAGAGAGCGAAAGATGGGCGGCACTTGAAAAGCTAAAAAGAAGAGTACGTTCAGAATATAGACTCGTCCGTTCCTAGTACTATTTCATTGAATCCAATATAAAGTCATTTCATAAGCTCTATACATTTATCACGGACTGATATCTTTGGATTATAGGGTTATAATGTTAAAAAATTATTTACAATAGATTAGGTTATCACAGTAATCCCCTTAAACCTGGTGTTCGAGTAGAAATAATTTCGAGCCCATAACGAAACATAAGTTGCTAAGGGGAAGGTCCTACAGTTGACTAAGATCATTAAGTAAATCATATATTAACTTGTTTACCCTATGTTGATCATCGCATGTGCAGTTGGACAGTAAGAAAACAAATGCGAAACACTTTCTTTATCTTTCTCACAATTGCGGTAAATGTTAATAAAGGTAATATTCAAAATTTCGTTATAGTTTCTTAACGCACAACGACTCGTCCTAACCCTACCATAAGTTTGAGATTGACAAATATAATTAAAACATAACAATATAACATAATAATCTGAAAAAATATCTCAATTTCGGTAATATTTTTATGTTGACTGTAGGGTGCTCTCACTACTCCTAAAATTTTTGAATTTGAAAATAGTTTTTTATCATGAATTTTGTTTGTTTAGTAGTCAAAACATTAAAAGACAAAGTTTGTACATTAATTTTTATGTACGGGAGTGTGTACCGGGATATTGAATGTATAAGCCCATAAGTTAATAAAATAAGCCATCAATAATGGCCACAATGGTCGATGGCAGCCGATGAGCTATTAAAATCACGCGCAAATCAACCGAATTAGAATTTTCAATGGAAAAAAATTTTTTTTTAAATACAGAACCACTCAAAAAGTATCATGTAAACGCCAGTTAATATGTGCTCTGCTGTTTTCAAATATTGACAATTGATAAGATAAGATAAAGAACTGACAAAGAAGCTCACATTTCTAGACTCTAAGTACGAAAGTTAAACTCCAAATGAACTGCAATGTCAAGTTCAAATATGAAATTGTCATCTGTTCCACTAGGCATCAAGTGGCACAGGTGCAATAATTTCAAATATGGAAAAGGAATAACATAATTAACATATGTGTATTTTAATTAAAAACGAGTACAAATAGCATACTTACTTTAATAAAAAATGCTGCTCCTCTAAGAGTCCGTCACTGCCTGAGTGTATGAAATATGTGTCAATGCCATCGAAAACGATACCATTGATGCCGCCGTTGCAAGTGGAAACGGCAACATTTGAATCAGGTTGGCCACGTATCGTGCCCTGCAAAAGTGAAGAAAATCGAAATAAACAATCTCTTAACAGAAGTGTCAAGCGAATATAAAATATATGCAATGCCAGTATATCTGTCTATCATTTATCAAGCTCACAGTTACTGGCAAGTGCTCACTTTCAGCTAAAGTTGTCCACGGAAGTGGCAGCTATCCTGCGTCACAGGTGCAGTGCAGTCTTACCTGATAATGGCACAGCTCCATTTCAGTCTTTGTGAAATTTTTTACAACATATCCTGTTTGCGTTTTCGAATTCTGGTAGCGTAGAAAATGTTCTTCTGGCAGTAGTTCGTCGTTGCGCTTAAGGTCAATATAAACGCGCTGACCTTCATGGTAATAGGAAAGGGTTATATGAGGCACATGTAGACCAATCTAAATATAAAATAAAATTTATAAATTTATTTAGTTTTTAAAATTTAACTAGAAAAATATAAAATAATATGGCAATCGCATCAACCTAATACAAAACAAAAATCAGAATTTTCATATTGACATGAAGTCATTTCCTCATTGCCATTTTTGCAAAAAATAACTGAGGTTAAGTAATTAACCGGTTGGGCATTATTTCACAGCAGTAATTGACTACAACTCCAAACTCTCCAATACAACTTCAACTTTAACGAATTAAACCGACCGTACCACCTATGCAAATAGCACACCTGCGTCTATCTGTGACATATCTGCGGTATATCTGTGACCGGGTCTGTGTCATTTATTTGTTGGCGAAAATTTTGTCAGACTAATTTAATCTTTACATGCAAATTGTAGGCGTTGTTAATTTGAGAATATATTTATAAACTTTCGTTATTCCTAGCACATCAGATTCGTAAAAGAGGAAATAGTACGTAAATCAGAAGTAATAAATTTCGTCAAAGTTTCAGTTAAGTTGGCAGGATGACGGATATCGCAATTCCTGTGGACACGTTACTTCGAGGTGCGGATAACTGCCATCTTAAACAAGCGAAAGTAATGAAATAATGTAGTCAAGGTTTAACCAGACACATTTATTCCACGAATGCTTCATTTCAATTGAGTTTTGACGTTCATCGCAATAAACTAAAAAGAAGCTGAAAGGTTGAGTTATGGCCAAAGTTAAATGGTCAGCTATGCTGTCACAATTACGAGTAACATTCGCTTTGGCTAATTAATAAATCTGTCCAGCAGCACATGAAATAATTTTATTAAAAAATTTATTAAATTTTGTTGGTAATTTCAGAAGCAAATAAAATTATAAGTGTAGTGTGGAGAAAGTTACGATGTGGAGTTAATTCCGCAGGTGACAAAACAGTTATAAAAACAATTTACTAACCTTTGAGATTTAACGGTTTTCTAAAGTAGGGTAACTACTAATTGCAAACGTCGACATATTAAACATTCTTATTTTTTATTATTATTTATTAAAAAAAGCTCACCGATTCTATTTAAAATTCATTTCTACTTTCGATATTGAAAACCTTTTTAAGTTATATATGTATTACTTAGTTAATCAAGTCGGGCTTATTGACTCCCGTTTGATTTTGTTGGAGAGTTGGAGTTATACGACGTGATGTCTTAGCATTTGAACATTCGAACAATTTGAGCGAACACTTAAAATGCTCGAACTACTTTAAACTTAATATGGAGTTTAGATATTTACGCTGGCGACCTGCACTCAAAGCTTGTATCAGCTCAAATGCTATTTAAATTTCAAACTTAAACGTTAAATTTCGTATCGTATCAATTAACTACTTTATCATTATATTTAACTGAATTGGAACATACAACTGATCTATATAACAATCATTCAGTTCGCTAGATTTTATTTATTCAAATATAAATACCTTAAAAATCAATCATTGAAGAGAAATCAAAAATAAATGAATAATTAAAATAGCTTTGCCCATGGCTTAGAAATTTTCACAAGAGTTACATTTTTAGCGAATTATATCGCTATAATGTTTTTCAAGACTTCATTGTTTTCAAAATATAAAGTCCTTTCCCGACTAAAAAACAATTCAAAATAAGTCTACAAGAATGACCTCTTTTCCTAGCAAGCTATCAAGCTAAAAGCATTGTATGACTAACTTGCATTGAGATAACTTAGTAATGGTGAGATGTATGGTGAGAAAATAATAATTTTTAAAGAAGAACTTCTTAAGTGAAGGTTTTTGGGATAAGGATATAGGTTCTTAGCAAAATATTTTTTTGATAGTGTACCAGACTGCTCAACGGTGAAGTTGAAAGATCTATTAAGTTACCTAAATTTGGTGCAATGGATTTAGTCTCTTCTCTTCTATACTAGGGTTCTTGCGAGGAATGAGGCAGAAAAACGGCGAAAAATCGATAATTGAGGTACATGAAAGTTATTTAATGGCCTGTCACTGCAACCAACCAACTAACCAACCAAATGAATTAAGCATGACATACTTTATCGACAAGAGATTCGTGGCAATCAAAATTTAGTTATAACTTCAGTAAAGAGATCTGTTATTTAAAACCGAATATGCATTTTATATATTTTTACTCGTATTATGATATATGTAATAACTTCATTAACTTTAACTCTAATGCAATTATAAATTTTTGCTTATTCAATCAGATTTCCGTCGAAAACTATCATAGGCCTGGAAAGCCTGTTTATGAGGTCATCGCATACTACATTTCGTTTGTAATTTTCAAACGAATATTCTTAAGCATTTGGATTGAAAAAACAGCACATTTTGTATATTTGACACTCGAATTATGTCAACCAAAAATTTATGGACAAGCCGTGGATGTTTTAAGTGCAACATGTGCTTGTGTGAAATCTAACTCTTGCTGTATGAAGCACTTAGGTATAGTAACGCCACTTAACACTAGACTCCAATTAGGAATCAACTTACAACATAAAAAATGTACAGAGAAAAACTGTTTTAGTTTTCGATGTTGAGATAAATCAACTATATTCTGAGGCCGTAAATACATTTGTACTAAGTCTGACAAATTAGATTCTTTTCAAATGCCAACTTTTGTTTTTTAGTTCAATTTTCTAATGTCAGTACTTTATTATTTGAAAAACATCTTCATTTGAATAAAATTGAATGACAAAAGTAATGAACAACAGGGATATCTAAATTTTTTTTTAATGCAATATTAATTCAAAATATACTTGTTAACTTTAAACTGAGTAAGATACAAAAAATAAGTAATTATATACGAAAGCTCTGAGGTAAAGCATCAAAAACACAAAACTAAATCGTTTGCAAAGAAAGTACACGTATGCAACGAATAAATTGATGATATGTTTCACAATGTTATTGTAATAACGAGGTTTTACAAACTTTATAATTTCATATACCAATAGTTCAGACTAAATCAACTTTTCTTAGTCTTAGTCAATCTAAGAAGTTTTTTGTCATATCCCAAGTTCGACTGTCCATACACTTATTATTCAGTAAAACCAAGATAAATATTATATATTAAAGTTACATATTAACTATTGAAGTCCACTCAACCAGTTTCAATCATTAATTTCTATGTTTTCATTTTCGACGCTGGCCACCGATGATCACCACAGAGTATTCGTCCTCCACAATTGGTACTAGTCCTTACAAAAGGACTAGTACTTTCGTATCTTCACTTTGATACACTATAGTTCTTAATACTCAGAATAACACACAAGTTTTTAGATCAGCAAAAACCACTCTGAACTAACCTAGATTAGATATATTATAGAAACAAAAGCCATGTACGCAAAGAAATGAGTGGTTCGTTTTTCATTCCATTCAACCGTATTAGTATATCGTCATTGGGTACTAACACGAATGTTCGGAAATACTCTCTATTTACTAGGCTTATAGAGTTGTTGGAGGATTCCTGATGGTTACAACAACAAAAATACAAAAAGAGATCATCAGTTAATCATCAGTTTTATTAAAAAAAAGCTGAATAAACAAGTCTGCTTCTTTATTCAATCACAATGGCTCAAATTTTTTATATATAATTTAATTATAGATTTATAATTGCGTTAGTTTTGTTTTTCCACACAATATATTATCACCATAATTAGTCATAATTATTTAACAATAACTACCTCTGCTTCCAATGTGCTACGTAAGGCTCTTTTGTGTATGCCGTGATGAATTTGTGGACGTATCACAGTGTGAGAAGAAAACTCATTAAGGGCAGGAAAAATGTTGCTTCCACCATGTGTAAAAGATGCATGTGAAGCTGTAAGAGAAATGAAGATTTATTATTTATTTTAAATTTAACTTTAATATAAAGACAATAATTAATTATTAAGAAAATAAAAAAAATTTAGAATTCAGAAAGTTTAAAAAAAGAAGAGATGACAAACATAACTAGCCAATTATAAGAGAAAAGATATGTAAATGAAAGAAATTGTTTCACTTGGAACTGAAATCTTGACTATAAAAACATATAAAAATAAATGATGTATGTACATTTAAAACACTGAAAAGTTAATGTTGCATCAAACGATTTATAATCAAATATCTTGATATGTGAAGAAAAATTAGGTGCGGAATGCGTTGTGCATGGATTACAAATTATTGTACTTAATAACATATAAATCCATAATCCATAATAAACAACAAAACAATGCTGAAACAATTTATAAGATTTAGTAAGACAATGTTAAACAAAGTATTTCAACACTTTTGTAATCTGATAGCCCATACAAGTTGAACCCAGAGAAAAATGTGTAATCCGAAAATGATTTGCCCCAAATATTGTCAAAGTGTGAATACTTAGAATGTCAACAGAGAAGGCAAAAACCCTCAACAAACGAACTTTAAGATACAAATTGGTTTCAGACGCGATAATGAAATATTAAAATTGTTGAAACACAAAGGCACACTGGCAGACCCAGACTGTAACTTCTACTGACAATAAATAATAAATAAATTGGCCAAATGACATGTTAAGTGTCAAAATGACAAACGCAAGACAAAATCCGTCTACTCGTAAAAATAAGCTTCGGAAAAATAATTCTTAATGCTATTTTCAGCTATTCTCAGATATTTTCCGCAGACATTGTCCGTAGACAGTTTCATGTATAAACACGTTTTTTATTTTTTACAGGTCGAATATTAAGATGCCGAAAAAGGCTCCTCAACATTTGCTTAGTCATTTTCTCGGGAAAAGTCATAGCCTTAACGATGTAAATTTAAAAATAATATTCCTAAAATTATTTATTTAAAAAATATTTGACTGACTAAGAAGCCCACAATGGAAACAAAAATAATATACAACGGGAGGGTGACGGGAGGGTGTTTTTAAGGCTGAACTCAACATTGTCACTATTTGTTCAAAATTTTAATTTTTAATTAATAATTTAATATTTTAGGAAATGATTCTCTCATAGTCTAGGCACAAGACACAAGACACAAGGCCTGAAGGTAAGAACTGCAAATATTTTTCCATTATGATTTGTCTACTGGTACCCAATGTATAATTGGGTGCCACCAAAATCCTTCTTTATTTATTAAAATACGCGTACATCAGGAAAACGCCCTTCAAGCAAAACAACAGCACAACTAATTAATTTGTCGCCCTCACTTGTATGCGGATGAAGAACGAGAATACCTACGGACCCAGAATCAAGTGTTCAGACAACATCGGCCAGAAACTGCAGCGTAGTAGACGCATTTAACAGTTCCAGATTTTCATGTGCGATAAATGCGCCTAATTTAAGCCATAAAATGTGGAACGTTGTGGCACATGTTTACGGCACTTTTAGTTTCTTCGACATCAGCAACGACACATAACTGCTTCTGGGAAAAATTATGATCGAAAGCAGCGTGACAATTTACTCTACAGACAAATACATTCTAAAGCAGGAAGACGGACGCACGCGCGTATTTTTAGCTTAAATTTGCGACGAATTAAGCATGAAAAGTAGGCACATGGGACTCATTTAGACATACTTGTGTCAAGCAAATTCACAGAAATACTCCAAGTCAATTTGGTAAAGAGTCACTTCTGTCATACACAAAGCAAAAACGTTTTATGTGTATTTTAGCTTCTTGCTCAGTACTTTGGATTCAATTTTATGGCTTGTTAATTGATGCTAAATGCAAACCGGGAATTTAAAACGCAAGCAAAGATTCAAAGATTTAACTGAAGAAATTCAGAAAGAAAAAACTGTTCACAAATTGGTGCAAGCATTTTCCTTTATGTACCAATTTATCCACGGTCTTGAAGCAAATGAGTCACCTTATTCAAGCCGCAAGGCTATGAAAGATTAACGCTTTCAACATCATTTCAAAAGCAATAAATTTTTTTATGAGTTTAAATAATTACTTCATTTTTTTAAAGCATAAGATATACCCCATAAAGAAGTACCTACAAAAACAAACACTTCAACACTTTAATTTGTAACTAAATAACCTCAGTTGTTGCTATTTTTTTTTATTTATTTCTAAAAGTTTCCAATGTGTTCTCATTATCATAAATAATGATTTATGTTGAAAAGTAGAGAAATAGATTTTTCATCAACCACAGCATCGTTTTTTCTGTTATTTTGTGCCATATGTCAGCGTTAAGAAGCACTGGATAATGTTACTCATTATGAATCGAAACACTATAGCGCCGCATTATTATTGTAGGCGATATCCTTACATCACTGTGTCTTACCAAAATATTTACTCAAGAATATCAGTAAGAAGTTTCAACATTAACGTCAGCAGTGGAAGCATTTGTAATAAAAACAAAATCAAATTTAAACAAGAAAACTGTGAAAAACTCAAACTGTAGATACAATTCAGATCATGCAAATGGTATTTTGTATCTGCATTCGAAAAGAGTACGAGTATTTGTTATGCATTGCTCCAGTTTTAATCTATGCAACATGAACGCAACTTATGTCAAAATAAATACAAACAAATAGAATTGCAATACTTATGATATGGATTCTCAAAAAGACCAGCTGTGTTGACTGTTGGCACTACTCTACAATTTACACAAAACAATACTTTAGTATTGCATTCCACAAGATTTATGAAACGTAAGGATTCAGTCATAGTAATTCAGTCATAGTTCGCATTCGAAAACTATAAGTTATAATTTAATTATTTTTTATTGGAACCAATGAAAAGTCTGTACCAATAGATATAATAAGCATATTCTAGCACTATGTTTTCTTTTGTAACTAACTGTTATACAAAACAGGTAGAATTTGTGCTATATATCAAAAAATACTTAACTTTTAAGTCAATCTAAAATATGTAATGGTTTAAGATGCGCAATCTTTTCTTAATAAAACCCAATAGATAAGCACACTTTAAATAAAAAATTTTATTAGTTCAGGAAACATTCCTGTCCCTTTCTTATACATATACATATGTCTCTAATGTACACATGTAGTCACTATTCATTTTATTTTTATTGAATATTTTACTCCTTAGCTTTCTAGACTAAGACTGTGAGTCTAAATTACTAAAAACTTGTTGAAAAATATTTTTTGAAATATATGTTAACTTTATTCATTGTTTTTATTTCATTAATATTATTTACCAATAATATGTTATTTTTAATTAAAGAAATCAACTGATATTGCAGACTAAAAATGTAGTGTGATTTTAGAGTGCAATGTGATGTGTATTATTAAAAAGAATATCCTTGAAGGCGAAACTAGAAAGATACAACATATGTGCTAGTTTATGGATTTTCATAAAATTTCTTAAAAATCTTGAAAGATACTCAGGAGTTCCTTATCCGTGCATTGTATTAATCAGAAATAATCAATAATAATGAACTGTTGAAGCAAGAAAACTACTGGTGATAAGAACGAACATATACTATATACTATATATAAAAAATTGAATTGTGTCATTGCTGTTGCTTATGTTTACATGCTTAGTACGGAGGAATTCGTTACTTTTATAGTGTAAATATTTATAGTAGCGAAAATAACTATGATATGAATATATACAAGCAAACAATTCAGATACAAGATACGGCTGAGCCAATGAAACCATGTCCTTGTCTGAAGTTTTCTCTTCTTGAGCAGAACTGTTTGCACTCCATGCACATGTACTTATGTGGTTGCATCGCAGCGAGTATTTACAAATGTTGCTGATATTACTAAATACTCAAGTGGTTACATTAGTTCTATTTAGTTTAATTATCAGCAGCATTAGTGGTAGTGATGAGATGATGAACTGATAAGCTGATGAGCTGATGAACCACACAACTATATAAAGTGTTGATAGATGGTTGCTTGCTTAAGTTATGTCTGCATGGTTCATGAAACTAAAGTAAAGACAAGAACTTGGCTTGAGTAGATAAATAACTGCTGATGTTTTCATGAACTGTTGTCATCAGTCAGCCAGCATATAATTTAAGATGTGTTGTTAAATGTCAAGGATGCCCGAAGGCAAACGTTTCCAAAGTTCTTGTTTGGTTACAGCAGAGTCAACAGTTTTTTGTAGGAAACTTTCATAATAAAAGCAGTTACTTTGTTTAAGTTTTATTCGCAGTTGCTGTGACGCTACATAAGAACTTCCTCTGTATCTCTGAAATACGTAATGCGCGGGAGGCCGTCTTCAATGTAATTTTATTGTGTTTTTATGGAAATAATTTCGTCTGCTGTAAATTAGTTTAACTTATACATATGTCCTAAAATATGATGCCAGTTTGTTGTGTTAAAAACTTCCTTTGCTTTCTCACATAAACGTTTAAGTATTGTAGATTGTGAGAAGCAACAAAAGTAAAAATATGACAACAAATTAAATAGTAATTGATATAAGATCGAATATAGATTATATATTAATATTGTGTATTTCAATAGTGTACTAATCATATGTTAATATATTTAAGAAGATATTTTTTTCATATTATTTTGACTTTTTATGTGGTGTAGATATTCGTAGTTAATATGCGATTCTTATTATTTCTGTCACATAAGCAAGTTTGCTTAATATTTCAATTAATATATATATTAAGAAAAATTTTATTAAAATAATATTTGCGTATGTCTTTGCAAGACATCGTCTATGCTTGGAAGGAAATGAGTCTTCTACTTTGTGACTATCGCTCATCAACAAAATACATTGTGGTCTTATTTCGAAAAGCTGAATTGTTTTTGTTAAATAAAGTTAAATTTTAAGTACAAAAGATCTACTATGATTAGAGGGATTTGATGCTGTGGGAACCTTATTCTTTTTAACTATTATTATCGGATCATAGAAGTGTCGAGAAAACATCTG